TTAAACGTGAAAAACTTTCGTTGGACGAATTTTCTTGTAAACTTCATATTTACTGAGATATCGCACTTTGACGCACTAATGAGCAACCCTGTATAACGCGTTTATTACTCTCAAGTTGAATGCATGCCTTTTGGAGGATTAGTTTTTTGCAGTTGAATTTGTAACTGTTATAAAATTATTGCAGAAGAGAAGAAAGATATTTGCAGAATATTCGGTATTTGTTTTTAACATAAAATTTAATTCTATTTTTTTTCTTGGTTGATGTCACCAGAATGTTTTTAATTGGCTTTACTTTTTCAGTGTGCTTCAGTAGACGGAGCTTAATTACTTAAGCTCTACCTCACTACTAAGTCACTAGTTCATTCAAATAAAATCGAGTTTTTCATTGCAATTTGATGTCAAAAATTGTTTTATTCCAGATAATTTTATATTTCTTTTAATAAAAATAATTAAAAAAATAATCTTTTAAATAAAGTTGTCAAATCGTTCTTTTTTGAGATCAGTAAATCCTATTTAACTTAGATCTTCCTTCTTTTTGCCTCTCAATCACGTTGATTTGCCTTTATTTGATATTGGTAAATTAGTATTGCTTTAGTCTCGTTTATTCGAATTGAAGAATACATATTAATCCAACTAAACTGTTTCCAGCTAACCTGCCTATTTCAACTGAATTTACCTAAGATTATAACCTGATTATTGCTGATTACATTTAAAAAAAGTATTTGGAAAACATGCATCATCCTGTGGCTTTTGAACTAAACTTTAACCTTTAATTTTTTCCTATCTGCTCTAGAAACCGATACAATCACAACAATTACAAATCTCAAATTTGTTAAAACGTATTCCGTAACTCGAGTGAATTCTGACAACTGTAGTCTCCAGAGTAAAACTGATTCTGAAAAAACTGAACAAGAAAAACGATATACAAAAGCTGAATGTGCGAAAATAAAAAAAATGCAGACTTGCAAAGTTATCAAAAAGCTTTTAAAATAAACAATGCTTGGATTTATATAAAAAACGCAATTGTGACTGTGGGCAGAAAAACTTAAGATGTGAACGATGTGCAAAACAAACTCAGATAACACAAGAAATATTAAATCGTACGGATTAAAACCGTCCAAATAAAAATAATGCCGACAGGTAAAAAAAATAAACCACAACCTTAAGATAAAGGCAAAGAAATGGAGAAGAATGCAAGAGTGCAAAGAAATGGAGAAGAATAAACAAAATACAATAGCTTTAATCTACTCAGGAAAATTAAGAAAGTGACAGGAATAACACAAATTCAAAATGCTACGGTTATTAAGGAAAATAACATCTGACTTATGGACAGAATATCTAAAGAACTTGTTTAGTGAGAAGGTAATTCCTCTCACTAAAAATCGGTTGATCTTTTGCAAAGATCAACCCAAACGCGGGAAAAAGAATCAATGTTTAAAATTGATCCTCTTTCGAGATTTGCTGGTCCTTCCTACAATAAAACTCTGCGATAATCAGTGAATGGCATGTAATTAATGAAATTGAAACAACAACAGCAATAATCACAAATGCTAAATTAACTACGTGCAGTCATCACTCACGCACTTTGGACTCGTAATAATTGTGCTATTAATGTAGAAACTAAAATATTAAATATGAGTTTCAATTCAATATGCAAGATTTCCAATCACCCCTTAGGTATACAACTTTGATTGGTTAAATTGGTTGATACGTCAAATCAGCGGGTCGGGTTTGAACTTGATAACTAGTATGCTTGCGCCACTTGTTACGAAGGGTAGAGGAACACTTTAACTTTTGTACACCGTCGCACCCTTTTGTTCTACCAGGATGCACTCACCGGGTAATACACACTATCCACTTCAGCTTACACAGCATCACCAATTTTACCAAGGTTGTTTCGCAGCACTGGTTGGCACTTGAATTTAGTTAGTATTTCACACGATTTTACGTTGAGCGCCATTATACGTTTGTATAATGCACTAGATGGCTAATTGAAAACTATACGAATTGCCTAGTGTTTAATCAATACAAATTATCGCCCGTTGCAGAGAAACTGCTCATGCAACGTCTTGTATGCGACTTTTTTCTTCCTTTTCAAAAGACCTAAAAACACGACCCTTTTTGTGGAGTTCGGGATTCTTGGTTTATTGTTAACCGATGTTAGGTAGAAGCTATTTTTACACTAACGCGACCCAAAGAAATCGTCCTTCGGTCAACTACTCTACAGATGTTTTAAAATTGACTTGGATTTTATTATAAAACATTTCAAATGATAATCTAATGCCTCCGACACTACTTTTCTATAATAATAGTCCAGAAATTCGTCCAGTGACCGCAATAAGACAGCTCTACCAATTCTGCGTAAATAAATCCTACAGGCTATTATACAAACAATAAAGCTACAAGGTTCAGGCCAACATCACAAACTTGCTAAAACACTTAAAATTTGAACACTGATAGCCGAGCAATTTTGAACACAGTTTAGTCAGCATGCAATTGGCTGATAATGGTATTACTTAAACAGATAATCTGGATGATCTACAAAAACGTTTGCAAAGCGTAAAAGATGCAAGTAATGTTTACGGTCCAAAAATGAACAATAAAAAATTATGATTATTACAAAAAATAAAGTATCCAAGGGAATCTCATATTCGATAGCTCACGCATAGAAAAGGTGCAAAACTCTAACTGTTTGAGCACGTGGATAACTGAACCAGATTTAAATAGAATAGAAATAGGAAGGTCAGCACTTGCCAAGATTAAGACGTTGATCTGCAGCAAATACATACTTATGTATGTACTACTGTGCTACTCATGCGCATACTAGGGATGAGATGATGCTAGGTATTTTAAACTCTACATTATGGATCATAACAATCCCGTCGGAGATCAACTCATCTCTTCGCTGTGTCTACGGAAGCTCTGAAAAGTGTGTGTGAATTCGTTTTGTACCAGTCGCGCAGATTATTCAGCCATGACGTTTTCCTCCTGCCTGGTCCGCGGCTGCCATGTATTTTACCATGCACGATGTTTTGTAATAGTCTGTACTTTTCTCCTCGCATGACATGGCCCAAATACTCTAGTTTCCTCTTTTTTATAGTGGAGAGGATCTCAGTGGTCTTATTTAAGCGCTGTAGTATTACCACGTTGATGATTCTTTCAGACCACGTGACTCTTAGCAGTCTCCTGTAGACCCACATCTCGAACGCTTCAAGCCGACTTTCTTAATTTTTGTTGATGGTCCAAGCTTCAACTCCGTGTAGAGAATACGTAGCATCTCAGCAGTCGGATTCGTAGGGATAATTTTAGGTCCCTGCATCCTAGAACATTGCTCATTTTTCTGTAAGCTCCTCGTGCTTGTTCTATCCTTATAAAGCTACCTATGTATGGCAGCTCTGACATTCTGCTGTTTACTGATTATTAAAACTTTGGTCTTTTATATGTTTAGTTCTAAGCCAGCTGCGTCGCACTTTACTACGACACTGTTCAAGCTCCGCTGTAGATCTTCTGAGCTAGAAGCCAGCAAAACCGTGTCATCCGCGTACCGCATGTTATTTATCAATTTGACATTAACGACAATGCCCACTGCTGCCTCCGAAAGTGCACCTTTGAAAATACTCTCTGAGTATACAATGAAGAGCAACGGATATAGGATGCACCCTTGCCTTACGCCACGCTTGATGGTTACTTCTGGCGTGGTGGATCCCCCCACTCTGACTATCGATATCTGTCTCCAGTATAAGTTTGCGATTACTCTGATATCCGCCCCGTCCAGTTCAATCAACTTGAGGGTATCCACCAAGATCTCATGTTTAACCCGGTCAAACGCCTTTTGAAAGTCTATGAAGCAGGCATAAACATCAGCCGAGATGTCACGGCTTCTCTGGGCTAGGACATTAATGCCAAAAAGTGCTTCTTTCGTACCGAGACCATTACGGAACCCGAATTGCGTTGCACTTAGATAATCCTCACACTTCGCATATATCCGACCGTGAATGATTTTCAAAAATGTCTTCAACATATGGTTCATTAGGCTAATGGCTCTGTATTCATCGCAGTTTTTAGTCGTGCTTTTCTTTGTTATTGTTATGAACGCAGATTTTAGCCAGTCGATTGGGAATTTACCACTAGAGTAT